TTCGTTCGTTCGTTCGTTCGTTCGTTCGTTCGTTCGTTCGTTCGTTCGTTCGTTCGTTCGTTCGTTCGTTCGTTCGTTCGTTCGTTCGTTCGTTCGTTCGTTCGTTCGTTCGTTCGTTCGTTCGTTCGTTCGTTCGTTCGTTCGTTCGTTCGTTCGTTCGTTCGTTCGTTCGTTCGTTCGTTCGTTCGTTCGTTCGTTCGTTCGTTCGTTCGTTCGTTCGTTCGTTCGTTCGTTCGTTCGTTCGTTCGTTCGTTCGTTCGTTCGTTCGTTCGTTCGTTCGTTCGTTCGTTCGTTCGTTCGTTCGTTCGTTCGTTCGTTCGTTCGTTCGTTCGTTCGTTCGTTCGTTCGTTCGTTCGTTCGTTCGTTCGTTCGTTCGTTCGTTCGTTCGTTCGATGACGCGCAACGTCTTTTTCTTTTTCTTTTCGTCTCTGTCCGCGCGCGTCGAATCGCGACGGACGGAACGATTGATCAAAATTCTTGGTTCGATTCGGTTTTACGATCGCAGCGACGAAGAAACGCGATCGCGGTGCCCCTGGTGGGTACGACCAAGTCCGAGCAAGGCGTTCGCTTGCTCGCGTTTATTATTCGTCCGACGATCATTATCGAGATTTAGCGCGTTACGAGTTGACGTGATCGTGAATCGATTCGTTTTCACCGTGCTGACCGAGTCTCGACGGTATTAATCGAGCGCGTCGACGCTCGGTTGCGATCACGACCGTTCAAACTCTGTCGCGGATGGAAGAGTGTCGTGATCCGTCAACGAAGCGAGACGACAAATGACGAGAAGATGGAACGAATGAGAGGGAGAAAGATGAAACGCGTGCCAGAGCACGCGTTGCGAATGTATGCCGCGCGAATCTGCGTCTGCGTGAGCGGTGAGAACGTGTGCGTATGCGTGGCCGAGAGAGACGGTGAGATAGAAAAAGCTTTATACGATTTTGCATGGGAACGAAAGCACTTTTTTAAATTTTAGTTTGTAGTTCTATCGTCGGTAAATAAAAAGTACAATTTTCTTTCCAAACGCTATTCAAGATCGACTGGACGCGTTGCGGTTCGTCGTAGTAGCTTTTTTTTTTTACCTTCCATTCGATTCAAGCCGTATCGCTTCGGTCGTTGGTCTTTGCCGTCATCGTCGTCGTCATCGTCATCGTCATCGTCATCGTCGTTGTCATTGTCATCGTCGTTGTGGTCGTCGTCGTCATCGTCGTGGCCAGCGCAGTTGGTTACTTGTCGCAGTCGCGGTCGTATTCGCGGATACTCGGCGTTTCCCGTCGGGAATATTTTTCGCGATAGTCGTTCAGTGTGTTCTGCTATCGGGATTCGAAATTTCTCGAAGGAAAATCTAAACGCGAAGAAAGAAAGAGAGATAGCGCGAGAGGGAGGGAGGGGTTGGTATTCGAGAGAAAGCGAAAGAAAGCGAAAGAAAGCGAAAGAAAGCGAAAAAGAGGCGCGAGGGAGGAAACGAGTGGTGTGCGAACGTGACGCCGAGTGGGAGAAACGCGATCGATCGAAAACCGATATACGCGATAATAGTTAAAGAAGAAACCGTTTAACGAGAACAGCGACGTCGTTCCCACGAGACGTTACGGCTGGGGAGAAGGAGAAGAAAAATCAGAGAGCGAGTGAGCGAGAAAGAGAGAGTGAGAGAGCGCGTATTAAGAGGAGGATCTCGTCGAGTAGGAAGAAAATCTAAATGGAAAAGCCGCGACTCGCATCGAGCGAGCGTCGTAATTGAAACGAAGCACGCGAACAAAAAAAAAAAGAATGCATGTGTTGAAAGTGAATATCGGAATTAAACGAAACGCTAAGGATGCGGAAGATTACGTGAAACGCGACGTTCGATAAATTTACGATCGATCGACGATCGAAACTGTATAGCGCGTTCGTTGAGAGCGAATTAAAGCAAGCGAAGGTCGCCGTTTCGATCGTCGAACGTCGAAGAGCAATCGCATTATCCTCGGCAGACGAGAAACGGACGAAGAGAAGGATAAGGAAAGAGTAATCGGAGACGCGGGTGTAAGCACGTTTAGCGACAGTCAATTAGTTTCGATTCAGTTTTCCGCGAGAGAAAGAGATCGTAGTAGACGTCCGAGAACCGTCCGGGATCGGACAAGAAACGAGAACGAAAAGCAAAGAAGAAGCCGAGACTTAAAAATGTCTCGTTAGCGGTACGGAGCATGTCCGCCGATCGACGAGTCGTCCCGATCCATCAGCAGCCTTCTTTTCAAAACTTTCCTCGTCTCCCGCTTTCCCTTCTTCTTTCTTCCCTTCCTTACTTCCGCTTCTATTTCTCCTTCCACCCGATTTACGTCCTCACCTTCGTCGATCCACTCCCTGTTCTTCGAACCCAGTGAATTTTATACCGAAACGCGAAATTTCGAAAAGCTACTTTCATATACGGAATTTAATTTTTTCACGAAACATGTGCATTATAAAAAATAAATGGCAAAAAAATCGCAAAATGTCACGAACAGAAGGTGAACTTTTGTTACGTTTCCACCGATCTCTAATCCCTCTGTTCCTTGCACGGGGTTCTTCCAATTTGGTAGCGTCTTCGAGTTAAAGCGTTTGGTTCGGTTGCGACCAAACGTTGCCCTGATCGGCCATGCAAATGCTCGCCGCGATTTCCGCGAGGTGAGTGTCCCTGTGGGGTGGTACGGCGACTCGGTGAAACTTGTCCGTTCCTTCGAGGAATTCGCGCAACGCAGCTTCGGGCCGTTCTTCGTCCATCGCGGCGAAACCGCGAGCATAAAGGCGCTCGCACTCGCGCACGCTTTCGAGCGGACCTCGCAAATCGACTTCTCGTCGGCAACCGGAACACAGGACGACCGCTGTGCTCGGATCTGCTGGTTGTCCGTGCAATTTCTCGCAGCTCTCGGTGGGACATCTGCGAAAACAAAGTCGATGTTTCGGTTCGATGTATCTGCTGCTGGATACCCAACGCGAATTCCTTTTCAAATCGGAATCTGAGAAGGGTCTTTCCGAATTTAAATCGGAATCTGAAGGTAAGTAGAGAGATCGGTAGCGGAGCTCACCTGAATCTAACGAGGTCGTTGGTCAAACCGTCGAAGAGAGGCCAGTCTTCGCGACAGGCGGTACACTCGCACCGAAACCAGTATCTACCAGCCAGAGTATCTCGACGTTTTTTCAATGGTATCTTGGTGAATATCGGGCCGTAATTCTCCGCGACCACGTCTCCCGGCCGAAGACGACGAATCGCTCGGACGACGATCGATCGACCTACGAAGTACCTGGGAGAAGGGGGGCTTGAATCTCGCGTTCGAATCCCGACGATTAGGTACCTGGGATAGCGAACGATTTACCTGGTTACCGCGGGATAACAGTCGTGATTGAAACGCGCGACCGTCGGATAGACGGCCACTCCGAGATAGACGGGCTTACTGCCCCGAAACCGATGCTCCGTTCCGTGTCGCGTTTCGAACACCTCGTGAGCGTTGAACTGCAGCAATTGAAGGTGTCTGGAGAGTAACGCGGCCACCGCTATCTCCCGTTCGTTCGGAGTCTCTAAAGAGGAAAAATAGGGAAGGAAGCGATCGAGATCGAGGGGAACGTTCTCTCGTACCTGCGTCGTTGCTCGTCCGTTCGAAGAAACCTACTCTCTGCAAGCATCTGAGAAGAAACGCGGCCATCAACGATCTCTCGAGGAAGTCTTTGGCCGTTCTCTGTTTCTCGTGCGTCACCAGATCGTACGCTCTCTGATCGACGCCGTCTCCCTCGCGAATATTCTGTTCGCGTCGCGAATCTCGCCACTTCTTCTTCCTCGATCGTCGTTTCGCCGATTTACTCTGCTTGCTCGCGGCGGTTTTGTCCTCTCGTTCGTCGACGTCGCGGCCCGTCAGCGCGGTCCAAATCTCCGAACACTTCCTCGGACCGTTCTGAGTGACCATTCGTAACGCGAGCATGCTCAGCACGCTCATCCCCGAGCCTGACGAGCAAACGTTTCGATCAGAAATTGATCGAACGAAATGCTCGTTCGCCGAGACCCCCTCCGAACTGGACCGCGATCGCGCGATCTATTTCGTTACCTATCAACAGCGCCAGAATCTTGCACTCGTACTTGTGATAGCTGGAGATCGCGGCGTCCCTGCATCTTATACCGCAGAACGCCACGCCGCTGCAGTCCGGGCATCCGACCGGTGCGACGAACCTGAAACCGTGACAACGATCGTTTAGCGCGCGTGCTGGAAAAGACGGGCGAACGCTCACCTGGAGAAACAGTGGTGACAGTGAGTGCCGAAAAAGTCAGGCAAGAGAACGGCGCCGAGCGGGGCCTCGACCACCAACGCGTCTCCGGGAACGATCTCTTTCGCGGCGATCGCTCTCTTACCGGCGTCGTCGGTTTCCTCGATCTCCAGCAGGGACGACGCGCCCGGCAGCCGCGGATTTTCGCCTGCGGCCAAGCGAGGCAACGCTGCGAACGAATACGATCGCGTTTGATCGTTCGGTCGATCCACCTTGAACAAGAGAACTCACGTTTGCTCTCGACGCTCGTCCATCCTCTCCGTCGTTCGAGCTCCTTCGCGGAAATTAGACTGTTCTCGTTCTCGCGCATCGATCTCTCGCACGTCTCCTTCTTTCGCGCGAGTTCCGATCTGAAAAGACAAAACGAACGAAATTCCGCGCGCGGAACCTTAAAATAGCGTTCGCGGGAGGACACTAACCGGAACTCGTCCGGAAGACCCAGCTCCTCGGCATAACGCAAGTCTTGGAGAGCGAGCACGTGCTCGTTCTCGGCGAGCAGGATCTCGGCTCTGGCGAGGAGCGCGAGCGGTAACCCGAATCCCCGATCGACCTTCTCGTCCTTGCCTGGAACGATAGCGGAGCGTTCGATAAGAGGGAGCGTCGAATCGGCCGCGCGAAAAAAGAACGAACCCGGTAACGGAGCGCGAAGAACAGCTTGGCTGAAGCGCGAGAGAGCCTCGCGTCGTTTGGCCGCGGTCGCGGACACGAAACCTTCCAGCCTGCTCGTCCTCGAGGCATTCGCGTCCTTGCCCCTGTAGAGGAGATCCGTGCGATTCAATGTCTCCAACGCGACCTCTGCGATCTTCGCGTCCGCGAACACGGCTCGAATTCTATCCTCGTCGTTGGCGAAGCGAGCGAACACCTTCGAGATCCATCGGTCGCCGACGTGGTTCGTCACGCGTTCGCTGAAATCGCCGAAGAATCCTCTCTTACCGGATCGCAGAGTCTCCAGGGAGCACAAATTTCTGTAACGTTCCTCCGCGTTCTCCATCGGTGCTACATCGCCTCGAACGATTTAACCGACAACCGTGTATCGATTACCGAGGGCGGACGACCGTGCACCGACTGCCAACAGTCTTTCGAGTCGGTCGAATAATTTTAGCCGAAGCTCGCTTCGTTATTTTCGTCGCGAATTCTCAACGCTCTCTAGAGGCGTTTCTCCTCCTCCTCCTTTCGCGATTCGCGACGTCGATAAACGAAACGCGCGAAAACGGACTTCGAGCAGCGACATCGGATCGAGACGAACGGAAACGTTGCATTCGTCCGGTCG